CAAAAATATTGCATTGCATTTTTATAAAAATTGTAAAGACTATTAAACGTAAATGCATGAATAATTAGTGGAAAATTACTATTTACTTATTGATTTATTAACACAATTTGTTTCTGGGTTTTGTAACATATACGTATATATTTAACGAAAAGTTAGATAAATAGTTAAAAAAAAGCAGTATTTGGTAATGGAGAGTTTATTGGTTTGTTTCCCTGGTTTTGTTTTAATTATTCTCAAAAGTTTCCCTGATGTGCAAATATGTTTATTGTTTTTCGAAAATAGACTTAAATTGCGAAAGGAGCAGCCCTGTTCTATATACTTTTTTGTTTTAGTAAAAAGATATCTTTTGTTTATTAGTAATAGCATTGCAAACTTCCTATCCAGTAAACAATCCATTGAGTAATTTATTTATCAGATTTGTTTTGTGTACACTATAAAATATAATAATTCTGATGATATTAACAAGTTCTTGTGGATGGTGAGAATAGGTAAAGTTTATTTATTCTACCAAAACTATTTCGTTTTATTGAGATCTGATGTAGGTAGTTCTAATTCTTGGTATTTTTTATTTGTTTATTTCAGTATTAAACTAATTGAAATGTCCTTTTATGTATTTAATGTGTATAAAAGAAAAAAATTGGTAGTGATGCTCAGCAAAATGTCTTCATCCTTCTTATACAAGTTAATAAATTAAAGGATTAGTACTTTGGTGAATAAAACTGTAGATAACTTAATTGGTGGAAAAAAAAATCACATTAACAAATAATGTCGAATAGATACATTATAATTTGTACATGAAAATAGAAAAAATATTTATCATGCAACTAATTCTAGTTGATTAAAATATGCTTCCATATTTTTGCAGGTGGTAGTACAGATAGGGGTGCTCATATCAAAGAATGGGATTATTATTCGTCAACTGGAGAATTTAGAATCGATAAAGAAGGTTCTCCAACCCTTTTGAATTGTTTAATGTATAAAATGTGTTATTATCGTTTTGGAAATGTCTACAGTGAAGGCGAGTTATCATTTGACTATTTTAACTGTTATGTATTTTAATAAAACTTTTTAAATTTAGGAGGGAAACCACCCGGTTATGATAGGGTCAGAGGAGCTGAAATAGGAAACAAAGATTTTGAATTGGACGTGTTGGAGGAGGCCTACACAACAGAACATTGGCTTGTGCGAATATATAAAGTGAAAGACCTACCAAACAGAGGGATGTAATTTTTCTTGTGTTACTTTTAGTGGTCATTCATTTAAATCCGTCTTTTTTGTACACAATTTAATTAATAAAAAATAAATAAATATAGGGACGTTTTTATTTTAGTTTTAATATATATGATAAAGTAATTTACAACAAAATTTCTTAAAATATGTAGTGGATATAAAATGAGTGTAGGGTAATACCACCTGTGGTGAAAATTCGAGCAATAGTCAGTATGTTCAATGTTCTTTTAATCAAACCAAAATCAATTTTACAATGTTCTATTGTANGACATAGGTTTAATAGGACGAAACAATTGTACAGTAAATACTACATTATAATAAACTTTAAAAACAGTTCTGCTGTTCTATTTATCCATTTAAATAGTGCTTCACAAAGAAAACTAGCTCTAAGCTGATTAAATATCAAAAAATTAAATTTGAAAATTTGTTAAAACGTTTAGTTCAATAACTATGTTCATTGCTACTGGTAGGCAAGTAGTTCCTTTTTATAAAAAAATTAATGGAGTAGGTATTTTTTGCATATCATTTTCCTTGAATATAATTCATCACGTTTTTAGCATGTTTATTATTAATTGTTGTTTTTGACTTGGAGGTTCTTGTGTTCTCGTTATGTGCAATGAATAAATAAAAAATTGATTTTGATATTGTAGATCTAGACTCTCTTGTTTCAACAAGAATTTCCTGATCATTTTTAATACTCGTGCTCTTTTATTTCACGTTATTGAATCCCTGTGGATAACCTTCGGTTGAGCGATTACAAACATTCCTATGTATATCATACAATTCTTTTGAAACAAACCACATTTTTCAACGTAATTATCGTAAAAAAATCACTTTTACACATATTCTTTTTCTTCCCAAGCAAAAGATTATTTACTAAGTAACTATCGCCTAAACGAGTTCTGATAATTAATTTTAGGCATAAGCAAATAAAATTGGCGTTTTCAGAACATGTATACTTTATTTCAGATCGAAATTTGTAGAGAATGGATGCTGGACTTAAGCACAAAAAACCACCAAATCCTCGAGAAAATTGTAATCCCATATCAGCAGCAACTTTTATGTAAGTCTATTTTTAAATATTCTTTTTAGAATAGTATTTCAATATTTGCTATACTAGTAAATCGTAGTGCTCTCAATACCTTATAATATTGTTATTCTTTTTAAAATGTTTTAAATTAAAACAAATTTGACTTCTTAAAGATAAACGAAAAATTAGATGTATTGGCTTACATCCCTCTTCATATTCAGAAACTATTTGCTTAAAATGATCCAAAGAACGATATATTTCAAAGCTAAGGTAAAAACATGTTTACATATAGTTAGAATTATGCGAATTATGTTTGTGACATATTTTAATATGTAGCCAAGCAAGATTGTATTGTATTGATTGTTTTATTTATTTTTATGGTAAAGGTGCAGTTTACGTTGCTTTCCATAATTTGTTTTTGAGTGTTGCAATGCGCTCAACAACACAACATAGTAAATTCATAACTTAGTTATTGTAAGTAATTATTAACGAAACGATCTACTGACTTTATCCTCCTATTGATGCTAAGGGAAGATTCCGAAAGTCGCAACATCGCGAGTACGAACTCTCCGTATTGTTAGATGGGAAGTTACAACTATATTATCGGAACTTAATTGTTACATATCGTACATCATTTCTCAATATTTATAAGTATTCCACATTCTCATGATTTGATGTTAGACGACCTTTTAATTATTTTATTTGCATTTTTATGATTTTAGTCCATTTTTGTTTTCAAAACACGACCGCCTCACTACCTTGCCATACTCGTTTGTCGTGATTCTATGATCTCATCTTTCGATTTTTCGAACTAACTTTTCTTTGGCTATTGATTCCGCTGTTTAAACGACTGCTAATTGACCTACTAACCCAGTAGTAGTATGAATAATTTGGGTGTGTTAACTTTGCACTAGCGACTTAAATTTATGGATATTATATAAGACCGATTTTTATGTTCCCTTCGAGTACGTTATAACTAGTGGATTTGGTCGGGATTCTGTAAATCAGAATCCTAACCACTTTTCAGTCTCAATTTGTTGATGGAAGATTTTTGTAAGATTTCCTTATTTTTTATTTGTGACCTTCAAAACCAAAAAAATCCTGAGATCCTGGGATTGGATAAAATAACTATAACCACGAAATGCCAGGATTAGAAATAAGGGCCAGGATTGAATTCCCTAGTTATAATCGAGTTAACAGACATAGTTACAATACATTTAATTACATTGTAGATATACAC